AATGCCTATAAAAGTTAGAAGAACTGAGACTATTTGAACTTAGAAAAGAATGACGATTTACACAAAAGAACGACGATTTACACAAAAGAACATTAGGTAACAATTTTTTATTTTTACTTAAGGACAGACTTGTAACAGGTAATATTAGAAACAGCTTCCTGTCGATAGTTTTAAAAGATATTCATTCACAAGAAGGGAATATGAAAATGTCCTTTTGAGATTCAAGAAGAGACTAGAAAATAAAAGAGACTAGAATATGTTACATTCAACAATTATTTAGCATTTATACTGTGTCAGGGATATGCTAGATATTGTTAAGGATATTAAAAAATAGGCAATTTTGCTCTGAATGAATGGTGGGACTAAATGATCTCTATAGGTCATTTCCATAACTCTTAACTCTTTGTTACTTTGTCTCACTAGCTTTATTTACTCTCATTAGCTTCAGTAACATGATGGGAATTATCTATTTATGTTTGTCAATTTGGCAACATTCAAGAAGTTGAAAACTTTCAGGAATATTTTTATGGATTTTTAAATTTAAGCCATAATTTTAAATACTATTTTTAACTTCTACTCCATAATGAAGCAGTTTGAAGGAAGTTTTGGAAAATATTGTATGATGTCCTAAAAAACTATTGTTAGTTTTGCCATAATTCTATGGCAAAGTTATCAACTCATGGTTAATCAATCCCTTATACCTCAGTTTCTGGAATAAACTGTACTTGATACTGAGAATTTTCTGGACATGTGTTCTTTTTTTCCCTAAGTAAATGTACTCTTTACAGCAATGTAGATAACATCTCTTCCACATCTTGTGCGATTCTTATGTTTTCTCATAAATATTTCCTAAAGGAGTGACCCAGCATGTTAGAGATACAGAAAGTTCCAAAAATCTTAGTGCAGTTTTGAGTGCTTAAAACTGCACTAAGACTTTTGAGATACCCTGTGTTTCTGATTTCTTTGGGATCTCAAGAGATCCTGGGCCATCGTCAGTCGTCTTGACTTTTGTCTTGCCACTGGACTCCAAAGACTCTGGAGGAGAGAGTGAGGCTAATGACTTTGTGCAGCTCTGCCTCACTTAAATCTAGTTCATGCACAAGTCAAGACATCACCCTCATGGTGTCATTGGTCCACTTCAAGAACAAAGGATAAACAACAAGAAGTATCTTAAGGGCATCAGCTTACTTCTTTGTTGACTCTTATTCTTGTTATATACAATCAGGTCACTTGCTACCAATGCACATCATGAAAAGGTGATTGAAAGGACCTTAGGTAAAAACCTAGTGAGGCCTCAGTCACTACCACCAGAGCCAGAAAGCCTGAGATATCAGGCAAATGCCTAGTCTTACCATTACCAGGGGCCTCAGACACTAGATTGAATACCAAAAGGACCAGGATCTTAGACATCAGTCCTGACAGAGCCAAATACGTACTCTGTTTAGAATATCTTCTGGATGTATCCACTGCTTCAGCATAACTACTGAACTGTGAGTTTAGTCCATTAGTCCTTGGAGACCCTTATCTGAGACCTAAACTCCCGGCCACCACTATCCCATCTCTCACCCCCAACTCCCTGATATTTAGAGTGGTAGGAGCACATCCACACAACCCTCCATAATAACAAGACCCTGAAAAGTAACTCCTCCTGCTCCCTGAATCCTAGTGATTCAGTGTTGCCATCCGTCATGGCTAAAACTCTCTTTCTCTGTTAACCTCTACTTGGAATCTCATCCCTATCTTATTCAATCCTAATACTCCTTGGTCTCTGCCCTCTCCATCTACTGTGCCCTCTGGAAACCCTACTTGACTAACAAAATTCTCTTCATGCCTTATCTCCTTTGCATTCTTTGTGTTTTCCCTGCAAAACATTCTTATTACATTGAGAATACTGCTATCTTAGCAGGTACACAGATTCATAATCTTGGAATCATTGTTGACTCCTCTCCTTCATCCATTATATCTAATTAGTTGTCAAGACTTGTTGATTCTATCTTTACAACTCTTGTATCTTTCTACTCCAGCAGATAGCACCCTAGCTGAGGCCTTTAGCACCTCTTTCCTGTACTATTATAAGTGGCTTCTAATTGTTTTTAATGTTTCTGGTCTCTCTTCCAATCCATCTTCCGTTCTGCTGTCAAAATCATCTTCCTAAAACACAGGTCTCTCCCCTGGCAAAAACCTTTAGGGGATCCCTATTACCTAGAATAGAGGTGTCAAACATGCAAGTCGTAGTGATACACAGTGCCCAGGATCCAGATTAAAGTGTATCTGTTAAATATATAACAAAATGAATAAAAATGCGATGAAACTTAGATAATGCTAATAACGTGATTTTCTAAGACAATATGCACACGTAGATCCTTACATATGGTTTAGTAACCCACATTTCTATGTGAATTTGACACCACTGGCCTACAGAGCAAAATACAAACTCCTCAGCCTCTCATTTAAGACCCTCCAATCCAATGCAATCAATTCATATTGTGTCCATGTACAAGGCACTATGCTAGGTGTGGGAGATACAAAGACAAAATGGAAAACAGTGGCACTTTCCTATTTTACAGATCAGGAATCTGAGGCCTAGAGAAGTTAAGTAATTTGCCTACAGTCGTACAGGTAGTATGGGGTATATGGGTTGTTCAAGGAGAATTAGCACCTCTGGTGTGAGGGCGTGCCAAGCCTTTTTCTTCACTGCTTATCCACCTTTGGTGCCCATTTGGCATTCAATTCTCATTTGTGGCTCCGAGAAGCTGTAGGATGCACAGCACCCACACCCTGGTAAACTGTTTTGGCAGATGGGCTAAACATTGGTGAGTTAGGGGGCTATCTACCACAAGCATGTGAAGACTTCCCCTGGAGGAATGGGCAGATGAGTACAATTTGTTCCAACAGCCATGTAAGTGGCTGAAGTAGGCTCCAGAGTGCTTTGAGCTTAGTCAGGCATTGAAGATGCCAAGGTTATCCACTGTATCCCAGGCCATCAACAGTCATCTTGACTTTTGTCTTGCCACTGGACTTCAATGATTCTGGAAGAGTGAGGCTGATGACTTTGTGCAATTCTGCCTCAGTTAAATCCAATTCATGCATAAATCAATACATCACCCATGATGTCATGACAAACAACAATAACAAGTAATATGCCAGAGTTTGAATCCAGGTTTGCTGACTCCAGATCCAGCCTTGGATTGCATTACAAAGGTCCTAACCTAATGAATGTATTGGAATGTTGTTGGATAATTGTTAACCTATAAAATTTATCAATATGAAAGAATCAGAAATTTGGAAGACTTTATCCACTTAGCTGTCAAATTGATCTTCCTAAAACTCAGGTCTGGTCTAGCCAAGTCACCTCTTATGCCCCATTCAATAAATTCTAGCGGCACCCTATCACCTTTAGGATGAAGTAAAATTACCTGTTTGACATTCAAAGCTCTTCCTACATTTCCATTCATTCCTACAATATAGTGACACTGGTATCCTTAATGTTCCAACAAAACAATCCACCTTCTGACAGTGCATTTTTACTGGCTGTTCCGCAGACCTGATATTGTCTCACTCCTCATCTCCACCTTCTGGTTTCTCTGGCTTCTTTGAAATCTCAGCTAAAATCTCACTTTCTATAGGAAGCTTTCCCCAATTTTCCCTTAATGTTAGTGTTTTCCTTTTGTTAGTCAGCTCCATTTTATCCTATGTATATCTTGTTTATACACAGTTGTTATATCCTCCATTACCGTTGCTTTCATGTTGTCTCCCTTTTGAGAACAGGTACTGTTCTTTTCTTTGTATCCCCAGGTCTTATAGTGCCTAACTCATAGTAGGTCCTTAATAAAAGCTTATTAAGACTCTTGGGGGCAGCTAGGTGGCAGAGTGGATGGAGCACCAGCCCTGTAGTCAGAAGGACCTGAGTTCAAATCCAGTGTCAGACCAGACACTTGACACTTACTAGCTGTGTGACCCTGGGCAAGTCACTTAACCCCATTGCCTAGCCAAAAAAAAAAAGACAAAAAAACTCTTGACCAGCAGACAAAATAAGAAGAACAAGAACAATTCATTGTTAATTATTATAAAGAAAAAAACCCTAAGGCTTTAGAATTCTGATCAATGCAGTGACTTCAGAGGACTGACTGTGACACAATTCTTGACTGTCAGCAGAGAGGCATAGGAATGGAATGTAGTGGACATTTTCAAACATGGCCAATATATAGATGTATTTTGTTTAAATGTAATTATTTGTTACTAGGGAGTGTTTATGGAAGGTGGGCCAGAGAAGGGACAGTTGTTGTTGAGAAATGAGTTGTGTTAAAAAAAAAGCATCAATTAAAATTTTTAAAATGCATGTGATAGACATACATATATACATATGTATATATCTGTGTACATGTATTTCTGTATCTATTTACATCTATATCTATTATCTTTATCGATACCCATAGGCCCAAGCCAATTGGTAGCACTTATATTCCTGACTAGAGCACAAACTCCTGGAAGGTAAGGAGCCTTCATATTCGTTTTTAGAAAATTCTCCTGTCGAAAACATATAGTAGGTGTTTAACGGACACTTATTGAATCATTGGGAAGCATCGTTTTGTTTCTTCTCTGCCTCCTAAGGGGCTGTTCCGGGAGGCCCAGTTTCTCTAACCAGCTCCTTTGCCGTTTTTATCCCTGCCGGGTTTGGGCTGAACTTGAAGACGACCTCAAACGCCCGCTGGTTCTCGGATTCGATGCCCCGCCTCCAACGGAACAGACTGCGGCAGGGCAGGGACAGCCGGACCCGCTCTGGTCCTCCACGCTCACATTTGGACAGCTCCCGAATCCCGCCAAGATCCTGTTCCGGAGACACACCGGGGGGCGGGGCTTTGTGGCCCCGCCTCCTCGGTGTACGGCTGCGGCCTTTCTAACGCCGGCGGCGTGTGCCGTAAAGCAAACCCGCCGCGCTCGCTCTGGAGCCGCGGCCGCTGTCTCCAGCGGGCTCTGCAGGTAAGCTCGAGGTTGGGCGCCGACCTGCGGGGCCTCCTCGCCTGGGGCGTCCGTTTTTCTCTTCAGCGCTCCCGTGGGCCTCTGGTACTTGACTTCGAGGATGTCCAAGCGCGCGGGGGATGGGAGGACGGGATCCCCTGGGCCTCGCCGCCCCTAGCCCCCCGCCTTAATGCCCCAGGGCAGGCCCAGCTCCCGAGGTGCTCCTCTGTCCGTGTGTCCGCTCCTCTGCACATACCTCGGGCTCGTCCCCTTGTGTCCCTCCCCCCGTTCTTCCTCCCTTTCCCCTTCTCCCCTTCGGCCCCTCCTGCTCCTTCCACCTCGCCTTTTTAATAACTCAGGTTTATCCAGCGCTTGGAGATCAGACATTCATTACAGCCTTCTAAGGGGGGGGCAAGGATGGGGGGACGGCTACTGTCATCTCTACACCTGAGGAAATGATGAGACTTTGGGTTCCCCCTCCACTTCCACACACACTCCCTTTTTGTTTTGTTTTTAGTTAGAAAAAATACATTTAAAAATTGTCCACCCAAGCCCTCTTCTGACGTCTCTTTGTGGTTCGGCTGTGACCACTGGCCCCAAAGTGAGGTACAAGCGCTGGAAAATACTCCAGCTGGAAAAACCTGGAGGATAATTTCCGGCACCAGACTGGCTGCTGGCTGAGGACAGGTCTAGAAATGTATGAGGAGGAGCCTCACCACGTGATGAATGCTTTTTCCGGGCAATGACGTAAAGAAAAAAATATTAAATGGCTCTCCTTCCTGGGCGGTCTTCCTTTGGCTGCTGCGGTCGCAGAGTGGTAGAAAGGGGAGCAAGGGCTGCTATTTAAACCTAATGTAAATATTAATTTTTGTGCTGTACACGTGAGATCCTTCTCCAGCAACTGGCAAGTGGACATACTGCTGGAAGAACTAAACCATGGCAATATTAACGTCCTTACTGTAAATGAAGGCAGAAAATATGAAGAAATTGGAGCTGAAGAATTAAATGAGATAGGCTCTTGCCTTCAAGGAGTTTTACTGTTGGGGTTAGGGTTCAAACATATTCGTAGGTAAGTAAATACAGATTACATAAAAAATAAATCCACCGCAATTGGGAGGAGGGGGGAAGTTATAACACTTAGGGGAATCGGGAAAGCTCTCTTGATCGAGGTGGTACTTGAAGGAAATGATGGATTCCGAGCTTATTCTAGGAATGGGGGAGAGGGCGTGTGTGTGGGGAACAGCAAGTAAGCTGGTTTGACTGCAGCGTAGAGTGAATAGGAGAGTAACGTGTAATCAGCCTAGAAAAATAGACTATACATCAATTGTCAAGGTCTTTAAAGGTCATGAGAGTCTGTATTTTGTCCTAAAGGCAAATGGGGAGGGGCATGTCACCAGAGCATCAAGCAGAGTGATGATGACCTATGTTTGGCTCTGAAATTTAGCAGTATCAGTCTTGCATCTGTCTTACACATTATTCAGCCCAAACCTTGGGATATAAAGGGATAATTAGGTTGCATATGATTTAAAACCCACAGGAAGTTCTTAGTCTTGGACTCATCAAAGGGTAATAGGTTTAAGGCCTACTTTTTGGAAAATCTTATGTAAAACAATATCAAGAAGGTGAATAATTCTTTGGATTTGATGAGCTATTTGTTCCTGTGTAGGCTGTTGCTTATTGACCCAAGTTACATCCCTGTGGGTGGGCATTTAGAAAGTTGAAGCTGCATTTTTTGCTGCAGGTTTATTTATATGTCTTTGTTGAGTGTTTATATTAGTAAAGATGTTTTAAAAATTATATTCCTCACTGATTTAAATTTTCTAGATTATAGACATGCATTTAGGGCTAGCTTGTACCAAGCCTGAGAAAGCAGCTATGTGAGGATAGCATTATAGAAGGCTAAGACTGGATGAAAAGAGACCAGTTAGGAGGCTGTTGCAATCAATCAGCCAGGTGACAAGTGATGAAGTACTGAACTAAGATGGTTGTGTAGAGAAGAGGATAGATGCAAAAAATATTAAGGAAGTAGAATTAGACAGCTGATGACAACTGATTGGGTTTGGGGGATGAAGGATGATTTGAGAATGACTCATGAACCTGGATGACCAGAAAAATTGTGAAGAGGAAGGATGAGTTTGGAGGAAAAGACATGTGGGTTCTCCTTTGGATATGATGAGTTTGAGGATGCTCAACAGGTGATTGGAGATTAGATACTGGAATTGAGGAGATGGATGAGGATTGGTTGTATACATTTGGGAGTCATCTTCATAGACTTCAAAGTTGAATCCCCAAGAACTAATGGAATTCCAAAGAGAAAGAGACATTTGAGAAGTGGAGAAGGTAGAGGACAAAACCCAGGGGCACACTCACACGTAGGGATCAGGACATGGATGATGAACCTGCAGAGGAAACCAAGAAAGAATGGTCACAATCCTGGGTAGAAAAAAAAAATCCCAAATGGTTGGAGTAACCAGAAAGAGGTAGGTAGTGGTCAGCAGTATCAGATATTGCAGAAGGGTCAAGAAGTAGGAGATCTATGAGAAAGCTATTGGTGACAGAGCAGTTTCAGTCAAGTGGAAACAAGCGCCTCTTTCAGAGGATGAAGACTCAGAGAGATTCTACAAAGAACTTAAGTAGGATTTTCCAAACTTAGGTTAATTTATACTTCAGTCCTTGATGATTTCATTGCACGGATGAATTTGGAGAGGGAGGCAAAAAAATATGGTTCAGATTTAAGAAATGAAAGATACTAAAAGCTTCCTGCTTTCATGTCATGAATACTTTCTTTAAGAATATAGTTGGAAGGCAACAGATATGGAGAACACTGAAGAACATAAAAAATTAAATCTAATGTGTTTTAATAATCATAAATGGTTTCTGCTTTATGAATCAGGTTTTTTTTTTAACTTAGATAATTGCCTTGTTAGATCAAAGTTCTGAAACAGTGTTGAAGGTGAGAGAAAAACCAACATTCAATAATGGTAGCTCCAAGTTGACATAGTCAAACAAGTTATTAATGCTGAAAAGTAAGAAATAAAAAAACAAACTACATTGATACTGGCAATGAGACTGCCTACTTTTCCCCCAACCAGTTGTCTGTTACAAGCTTTTTGAAAGGGATATCCACTTTCTTACACTAGTTATCTATTATGGACACTAGAATACATGGACTTTTGGTAGGATATTCTGTCTGTACTCTTCCATCAAGAATCTATTATGGGGGTAGCTAGGTGGTGCAGTGGTAGAGCCTTGGAGTCAGAAGGACCTGAGTTCAAATTTGGCCTCAGACACTTGACACTAGCTGTGTGACCCTGGGCAAGTCACTTAACCCCATTGCCTAGCCCCCCCCCAAAAAAATTTGAAAAAAAAAGAATCTATTATGGTGTTTGGAAGGGGGAAGATATTAATGAACTCAGTACCTGAATTTTTCCCATGAGAAAGTACAAATATCATTAAGGAAAGTGATGATGATATGGACAGCCAAATGAAACTAAGTGTACATGGAGAAAATCTGTGCTGCAGATGATGCAATTTTGAAGGCATTGATCTTGGGAAGAGAGTAATTTAACAGATAATATTATCCATGATTTTTTCTCCAATGAGTAAAAATAATGGAGAAGATAAATTACTTGGTAGAGGAGAACTTAGCCGTAAAGGCTCTCCTCCAACAAGAAATCTTCCATAGAAGATATGTACATTTTGAGCAGGAGGATTCTTTAGAATTCATCTACCCCAAACCCTTTATTTTACAGTTGAACTGAGGCCCAAAGGGAGGTTAAGTGATTTGCCCAGTGTGATAGAGGCATAAGCAGCAGAGCTGGGACTGGAACTTAGATTTCTTTAAATCTAGCACTGTTTCCATCCTGCCATGTTGCCCAAGGGCTTCCCTGTTATCTGCATAATGCCGAGAAGTAACAAAAAACAAAACACAAGAGGAAAGCCACTGGCCTGTTGGTGGACTTCCAGTGAAAGATTTACCAGAGGACATGGGCAAGAGTTGCACAAAGAGCTATGGATGGTTTATGATCTGCACTGTTGGCAGTAGTACTCACATCAGTAACTTCATGGATCCATTAAATCATTAAATATACATTTAAAGGACTTGGATATCTGTGTATCCAGTATTTCATTAATAAGATCTAGCTCTGCTTTTCATCTTCCTCTGCTTCCATAATTGTTCAGACATAGCAGCAAAGTTTGCAGTTATGTGCCTCTACTCTCTTAACTCATATATAATGAAAAGAGCATTGGATTTGGAGTCAAGACATCTAGGTTCTAATCCTGTCTAGGATACTTTGTAGTTATTGAACTTTTCTGAACTACAGTTTCCTCCTCGTCAGATAGGAATGGTGATTCTTGCAGGGATATTGTAAAGAAAATACTTTGTAAGCAAGTACTCACTGTCCCTTGAACATGCCATACTTGTCTCTGCCTTTGTGCTTTTCTTTAGAAGATCCCTCTACTTGGCCCAAATCCTCACTATCCTTCAAAGCCTGACTTAAGCCTTATTAGATCTCATTGAACTTCTCTCTGTACTGCTAGAGCATTTCTGGTTTATCATACAACTCAGCATTCTACTATTATTTCAGCCATTGTTCCATATATAGTCTGTGTTAATATCTTTCCAACCAGATGGTAAACTTTGAGGCCAGGGATCATGTTTTATACTGAGGTAGTCCTGGAATAGTAAAAATATTATTTGGAGTCCTTATACTTGGATTTCAATTTTGCTTCTTCTGACTTGCAAGCACTGTGACCAAGTGTGACCACTGTGAGCAAGTAATAAAAATAATGATAATAGCATTTATATAGTTTGCAAAGCATTTTACAAATATCTCATCCTTATAACAACTGTGGGAGGTAGATGCTATTATTATCTCTATTTTATACTTGAGAAAAGGCAAACAGGTTAAGTGATTTGCTGAGTGTCACACAGCTAGTAAGTGTCTGAAATCAAATTTGAACCCAGGTCTTCCTGACTTAAGGTCCAGGAAAGTCATTTAACCTCTTGCACCCCAGTGTAAATATTTCTACTTCTTTAGATTGTTGTGAGGATCAAATGAGCTAATATATTTAAAATCCATCATAAACTCAAGTCCATCATAAACATGATAGAGAAAAAGTTGTGGTACTTAAAAAATACTGTAAGAATTTTCATTGGAAACTGACCAGACATGTATAATGGTTGTTTCATATTTTTATTTGTAATATAGGAAAAGCTATTTTTAAGCTGAGAATTCGAAACACAAGTGATGAGATCATATTCATGCAATGTATGAGAGTAAGGAGTCAGTTACGAAGAGTGGTCTTGAAAGAATTTCTTTTGAAGTAAATTGAATCATTTATTTGTCAATAAAGTCTTAGTTCTGATAGAACTTTTTAAATAATAATGGCAACATATTTAGAGTTAACCTTGATAATGAATTAAAACATATTATCCTGGTCACAAGTACGCTCTTTTGAGCTCTACCATTCTTTCTATAAAACCAAGATAGTCTAGGTCTGGACCTATACTTAACAAATTTAGAGTCAGAATATTTTGGGTTCCAGTTTTGGCTCTACTTCTCACAGTATGATCTTGGAAAAGCTATTTAAATCTTTGAATGCTTACTTTTCTCATATCCTTTGGATAACATTCCTCATTATTATGCTCTAGAAAATGAAGATATTAGACCTATGTGCCATATGGGATTGTCGAGAGAATCACTTAGAACTAATAATGAAGTTGAAAAATAGGAAAGAAAAAAAAAACATAAAAATAAGGCATCTTTTTAGTGTTGTACTTGAATGTTTAAAAAAGAGAGAGCTGATAGTGACAGATAGATAGAACAAAACAGGAAATTGAATGGCCAGTATATTCCAGCTGTTCTTGGGCAGGGTGGATTTGATTTAAATCAAATATATTGAAATTATATTTGAATTGTTAGTCAGTTGATTAAGTTGTTTTCTCTGTAAAATTGCATGCAGCAGTCTGTTTCCTTTTTTTTTTTTTTTTGGTGAAGTTGCCTCACAAGGTGGTGCAGTGGATAGAGCACTGTGCTCGGAGGCCGGAAGATTCATCTTCCTGAG